GAAACAAAGCCTCGTTCAAAATGGGTCTTTTCTCCATAGTAGCCTTGATAAATTTACGTTTTTTCACATCAATCTCAGAATAAACTAGAAGATACTCTTGGGCCTCCATGTTCATCATCCTCAATAAATTACGCAGATAGAATAACCCAGATTGTTCTACCACCGAGCAGAGCGGTGGAGTATTTCGTCCTGAGCAAATTCACTAATAAACATTCATTTTTGCCCTTATTCTCATCTCCTGTTTTCCCGTCGTCCAATTCCAATTCCAATTCTCTGCGATTCCCTAATCGCATTTTCATAATAACGCTGGTACGTAAAAAGGAGTGGAAAGGACAGATGGAATGGTTTGGTTGCAAATGCCGACTGTTGTTGGGTGTTTGTTATAGTATATATTAAAAGTGAATGCAAAACTAATTTCTAACTTGGCATATATCTCAAGTAAGGGTATTTGAGGCAGGAAACCAAGGGAATTATCATCAACACAGATTGTTAGCACACAAATCCTCACTACCGTTTGCTTCCAGCTATAGTATACACCTTACAGCTTAGGCCTCCAGTAATGCCAACTCTGAAGCAGACGTTAGATCACATCGAATCCAAACATTAATAGCTGAAGCGTCATGTCGTGTAGGCAACCGGTACAGCTACAGAACGAGTACACATCAAGTGGAGGTGTCACAAATGCTAGTTCTAAGTGGACATCTCACAAATACGAGTACCTACATGACGTCACAAAAACCTATATAATGTCAAAAAAATCGACATAATGTAACTTTTCAATATGCGAAATACCCCTGCGGGCCTAAGTAGACAAATGAGAAACAATGGGAGCGTTCAGTCAACGCAAAGCGCTTCCATGCCGAATAGCAGTAGCTGGGAATAGATTTGACATTTCGCAACCTCAATCAACACAATTATATTGTCAAATCTGACATGCAAGTGAAGACTGCTGTTAAATTAACAAAGTTATTCGATGGCTTCTGCTAATTAACATAAGAGTTCGGCACCGATAGACCGCTGAACGTAGGCTGAACGCTCCCAATGAGAAAATAACTACTGTAATCGTCCGAGCGGCCCATATAAATACAGGTTGTTTCAGAACTATGAGGTAAAACTTGTAGAAGTTATTCAGTGTAACAGTAGAAAACATTTGAGTATAGGCACCCATATCCGGCGCTTATGTGTTGTTATCTTTAAAAACGATAACAGATATTGTTTTTTTATAGCTGTGAAGTTTGCAAGAATTTAACAAAAATTATTTGTTGCTAATGGGAAACTTTACCAATCAAGAATTGGCGGATATACATTTGGCTTAGGGAGTAACAAGCTGCAGTGCACGAGTAGCAGCGCGGTTATATCAAGAACGTTATCCCGAACTACAGGATAGGGGATACAAAAAGTTTATTGCTATTCATCGGCGGCTTTCCGAGACAGACATCTTTAAAACCAACATGCATGATACTGGTGTTGCTCGAACCGTAAGAACGGTCGAATTGGAAGAAAATGTTCCTCAGCGAGTTGCCGACGAACCATCAAGTAGCACGCGTCACATTGCTGAGGATATGAATACGAGTAACGCTTCCGTCTGGCGGGTGCTACACGAGCAACAACTTTATCCTATAGAAAGCTGCCACTGCTTGAGCCAATGATACATGTCTCCATTAAGTAACTATATGTTGGAGGATTTTTTTTTGAAAAAGTGATAATTCTGAGGGATTTTTGAAACAGGTGAGAAAACTACAGACGGGAATATTTATGAAAATTTATTTTTTATTTCCAGTCACTTAAATTTTATAGAAATTCATTTTTCGATGTCAATAGAAAATACAGATCAGCGTCTAGATGTGAGACATTGCGAAAATGTTTGATATGTGATGCGTCTTTCCTAATTTTTCTGTGATGTGACTTAATTACGCAAAACGCGGGCTCCGTGGCGACTTCCCGTAGTGGTCCTAAAAGTTTTTAAAAACACAAAAAAGGGAAAAATCATAATTTATAACTATGAACATAATCTGTCTTCAGAAATCACAAAATATAAATAACCCGTCAGGCACAGCTAATAGATATACTTCAGCATATCACTAATTTTATACACATACAGACCAATACACATAATCATTCAGATGCGATCTTGCTATTCAACCAACTTTTTTTCTTTCACATCTCAGAGATAAACACAACATACTACTCGACCTCACAAAACATATACTTGCTATCTGCAACCAAGAATGCGTATAGTTGAGTCGCTCTTCCATAGATGGACTCTCACAGCGATCATAGCGAGCAAACGTGGAATGAGCTAATTGAACCCTAAAAACTATCTAGTGTGCAAGATGACATTTTATCGTTTTTTTTTTGACGTTGTATATGTTTTTTACATAATACCCATGCGGATCTCGTACTATGACCTTAAAAACCCTGCGCATGCTCAGCACCTAGTACTCGCTTCGATCATAGCGCACTCATTCAGACATCAAGTGGTGGGGTCGTTTTTTCCCCATTTCTCCGGTTCTCCTGGTATATATTCTCTATGTATCAATTTGATCAAAGTTCGGCCTTGTAAAATATTTTTGAACACTCTGATGTTACTTCCAACTATCTAAACTCTCAAGATTATAGTGAGAAGTATATCTTGATTGGCTAGTTATATGAAAAGTGGATATACCTAACCAGCGTGCTATTCAACCTATTGCAATCTTTAAAAGTTTTTGATAATAGGTGCTTTCACAACCGATTTCGCGTTATTTGTCCGTCCGCACATTTTCGGGTTTAGAATGCGAATTAGCCGTAAACCGTGGAGTGGTGGCCGTTTATTAAATATTTGCATAGCGGCGAAACAACAATCCAACATTTATTTTAATTCGGCCAGATGACATCGAATAAGTGACCTGCATACATATCGTGCATTTGGCCCCGCGTGCCCGCCTGTTGTTTTTATTGTGTTTCGCGGATGCGGATTTGCTCTCGGTCCACCCTCTATCGGGGTAGTTTTGGTCAATTATATTAGTCCAAGACTATTAGTTCTAGTACTCTAGAATATTATTTGGTTTTGATGTGTACCAAATGATTTTTGTCGTTGAGGTGAAGAGTGACGAAGTCCATTCTGATAAGACATCTTGATGTCTGAATGCTACCATTGCTTATGAACGCAACAAGTAGTACAGTTTAATGCTTAGCTTAGCTTGGCTAACAAAAAGTCTAAATCCGGGTTTCGCGCCAAAGAGTCATTCGTTTCGGCTGATCGGAGTCCAGATCACCGGGAACTTGATTTTACACGAACACATTTTATCAAATACGACAGCTGGGACAAAGTTGGGTTATTTGCTCTGAGATGAGTAGGGCTTTCCTCCACATAACCATCTTATTATGCACAAGACACGGACAAGACCCCGCCGCACGATGAGCTTGCCAGACGGATTAGCCAGGCTTCTTCCTTCCGTCCTAACTATGTTGAACTCCTAGGGTGCTAAGATTGTGAAATATTTTGCATGACGAGGCTTTTTCCAGTTCTGCTTACGTCAGGCAGTTCAGAATTCGGATTAACGAGGAGTTTTTGAGCTCTTTATAGCACTCGCTGTACCTCGACATTTAGGTTTCTGCGTATGTGACTGCAGCGGATCTATCACTTGCGCTATAGCTTCGCACAATGCTTCACCACCGTTTTCAGCTGCAGAACCCTACGAAATCATTTTCATCTCCTTAATCGAAAAAACATCTCCGATTGGGGGAGGAGGGTGGATGTGTGCGTACTACCAATATGTTCACCGCGCTAGATAAGTAAGCGTAGCAAATGTAACACCTTTTGGTATTCATAGTTGTTAATTAATTCAAATACGAGACTGCAGACCCCCATACGTATACTCGCGGACCTCCAGGTAGGTTTGGAAATACCAAGCTCGCCGAAACGTTTTGTTTTTAATAAATCTTTTATGTGCCGAATTCCAACGATTTAATATTTGAATTGATACCAATGGTCAGGAAAACAAAACTACAAAGTATTTCTCTATACAGGGTGTCCGCAAAGTTGGGGCTTACCATGAACATGACCTTTAAGTCGGTTTAACTGAACATCAATGAATCGAACAGTTACAACAGGCATTTGAAAACGAATCTCCGTCTCGGACAAGTGTGTTTCGCTGGTATGCCAACTTTAAAAGAAGAACGTAGTGGTAGGCTATGTTCTAGTGTGACTCCAGAAAACATTGCTAAAGTTCAGCGGCTAATTAAAGAAGATTCTCACTGCACATATGCGACTATACAGTTCACTCTTGTGGTAGGATCCGCAACAGTGCTCACCATTTTGCAAGATCATTTTCAATCAAAAAATGTTGTTACAGAGGTACAATCCTGCATCACGACAATGCCTCTAGCCACACTGCCCAACTAACTGTAGACTTTTTACGCCAGCGAGACATAAAAATGCTAGAAGATCCGCCTTATTCGCCAGATTTGGCAATGTGGACTTCTGGCTCTTAGAAAAATTGAAAAAAAAATCTGCGTGGTCGAAAATTTTCGTCCGAAGGAGAAATCGATCAAGCAATTAATCAGTTTGTTGAAGGCATTAAAAAAACTGAATCGTTAGAAGCATGTCATTTGTGGAAGGGCAGGTTACAGAAGTGCATTGATGCTGGAAGAGAATACGTTGAACATAAATAAACCAGTTTTCGAAAAATAGTTTTTGCGTTTCGTGTATTTCAAAATATATAGCGTAACCCTCGTACCCCAATGTCTTATGGGAATCGAGACACTGGACTCCGCAAACTCAATTAAACCTGAACCAAACCGAAGCCGGTCCTGTCCTACTCCTTGATCACGTCCACAGCGCCAGCGCCAGTTATACGAGGGATGTCTTTTAAGTTTTGCATATAGAAACATAGTAGGCCGCGCGGATCGAACGACAATACTGAATCTTGATCTCACTCTTTAGTAAACTTAGATTGAAAGTTTCACAATAATACGTGCAGTATTCTCACTACAGTGAATTTTTCAGTGTCACCAAGTCATTAGAAAAATGGAACTCAACCGAGAACATTTTCGCGCCTTAATTTATTACAACTTTCAGAGACAATTATCCCAACAAGAATGCCTTGCTGAGTTACTGTCTGTTTTCGGCAACGAAGCTCACCATCAGTTGACAATTTCCAGTTGGTATGGGGAATTCAAACGTGGACGGGTGAGTCTTAGCGACGATCCCAGGGTGGGTGCACCAAAAACGGCAGTTACCCAGGAAAACATCGACGCTGTGCGCGAACTCATTATTGAAGATAGACATGTGACATATCGCGAGATTGAGGCGTCTTTGAAGGTCTCAAAGACCTCAATTCAAAAAATTTTAGATGAAGAATTAGGAGTAAGAAAATTAGTTTCTCGTTGGATACCCCACCTGTTGACTGAAGAGCAGAAAGCCGCCAGGGTCAATTGGTGTCAAAAAACGCTTGACTGTTTCAATTCCGGGCGCTGAAAAAATGTGTACAGCCTTGTTAGTGCTGATGAATCGTGGATTTACTGTTATGAACCAAAAAATAAACGACAGTCGGCTGTTTGGGTGTTCAAAGGTGAAGAAAAGCCAACAAAAGTCATCCGTTCTCGAAGTGTTTCGAAAAAGATGGTCGCGACATTTCCTCTTAATGAGCAAAGAACTGTTACTGCGGATTGGTATATGACCATTTTTTTGCCAAAAGTCATCAACGAGCTTCGAAAAATCAACCCTGAAGGAAGAACCATCCTCCACCAAGACAATGCAAGCTCGCACTCTGCCCAAAAAACAAGGCAGTATTTAACGGAAGAAAACGTGGAATTATTGGACCATCCTCCATATAGTCCCTATCTAAGTCCTAACGATTTCTTTACTTTACCGAAAATTAAAAACAGACTGCGTGGTCAACGGTTCCAGTCACCAGAAGAAGCAGTTAACGCATTGAAAAATGCCATTTTGGATCTGCCAGCAAACGAGTGGAATAAGTGCTTCGAAAATTGGTTCGAGCGCATGCAGATGTGTATTAATCTTCGTGGACAATACTTCGAAAAACAATAAAGTCATTTAAATCTACCTACCGTGTTGTTTTATTTCCATATGCAAAACTTAAAAGTCATCCCTCGTACGTACAGTTATACGACGTACAACTATAATGTAAATAGCTATTTTACGACAGAGCCGTACTTGGAATTTCAATTCAACTGAACAGAGTACCTCTTCATTTATTTTTTTACTTGTTCGCTCGCGTTTCACCACATATTAGTTTTGCTATTTCAAGCGTAGTTGTGACTGGAAAGTATATGGTATGTACGCACCAGATCGGTCCAAGATCAAATAGGAAAATCGCTTCGCTGGAGCTGGTTTATTGAATAATCATGTGGACTATGATCGGCAAAAACGATCAATGGTTGCCGGACTCTGCATCCCTATTACTGCTTTTTTTTTTTTTTTTTTTTTTTTTATACTCCAACTACCACGAAGGCCTAAGGCCTAAGCACCCATTGGGTACCGTGGGGCTATGGGGGATACATGGGAAAGGGGGGACGTCACACGGACTCTGGCGAGGGAACACGTGTGCATGCAACATGCACACATTCTGGCTCCGCCTACGAGAACCGCCGGGTGGTACCTCCGCGTTCGACAGTCAGAGACCATCTACCACCTACGGACAATCACAACATCCATGGCCAAGAGAAACATTTCTCCTGGGACGGGACTCGAACCCGCACAGCGCACGGCGGCTGATCAGGAGACCGAAGAGTCTACTACTGCGGCCACCGCTGCTGCCTAAAACAAACACACAACATCCATGGCGAAGGCGAGATTCGAACTCGCGGCCCGGCCGGCCGGCTGATCAGTAGCACGACACTCTGACCCACGCGGCCAACCGAGGTCCCGAGGTGCTACTAATAATCTCCATTTTCCTAATCTAAACAGGGGGCGGCAACCATTGTTTTTTGATAATGATATTTAAAAGAAGCGTCTTATTTTTACCCGGGGGTACCGATTACCGTTCTGGTAACATCGCATAAGGATGATAGGTAATTTGTCTCAAGAAATCTAAAAGTTTCAAGGCACTCTATCGAAGAACATTTTCATTCTTGTACATGTTTAATCTAAACCAAAACTCGCTTCATGAGTTAAGTCGCTTTGTCCGTTAAGATTGGCGGGAAGCCCCAAAAGTCCCATTTTTCTTTTGTGAGAAGAACTTCGTGACAATTTAATAGTGTCTGATGGTCATATTAGAATTCGACGTCCCAAATTAAAACACTACATTCTAGTTGTTTATGCTTGTAGTAACGGATGAAAAACACAAAAACTTTGGTTTGATAAATTACGTAGTTTAAGGCATACTGTTATCGAAAAAGAGGAAAAAAAATCTCTTGGCTATAGATGTTTTCAAAGTCCGACGAACTCTGGCTGTCAAACGCGGAGGTACCACTCGGCGGATCTTTAATGCCTGCACTTCACTATCGGCAACGATTGTTGACCGTGTGATCGTTCATAATGTGCCTGTTATCATAGTCCAAGCATCCACACGAGCATCCCTAGTAGTTTGTCAAACGGCAAGCATCAATATGACCCGACCATTCCATTAAATGGTCATCAAATTTTGATGTGTGTCCGAAAAACCGACAATTCACGAGTCGAAGGCGATCGTAGGCGATGATCAGCGAGTACAGCGCCTGATCGGCGAGTTCAGCCGAGTATGCCCTCTACACAATCCTGCTCGCGCGTAATCGTTTATAATTGCCGATTGTGAAGAGCCATAAGGCTGCCAGAATGTCTGCATGTTCCATCACATTCCCTTGTATCCCCCCGTAGTCACACGGTACCCGCAAATATTTAGGCCTTCGTGGTGGTTCAAGGACTAAAAAACGTCATGTTTTTCATGCTCTAAATGGGGCTATGCTAGAGTTTAACATTTTCATTACATTCAACGTCCCAGATTACCACGGTATATTAGATTTTGTTCGTTTGCAACAACAGATGACGAAAATGGAAATTAGGCTTTTAGAAACTTTAAAGTCAAGAGGCGTAGTATCGAAAAAAAATCTAAGATTCTTGTGTATCTTCAAGACCCGTTTCTTTCAATAGCTAATCAAGTTTTGAAAGCAGAAGAATCCTTTGTCATATATCAAGAAATGATGTGAGGCCCCTTCAATTGGATGAGCTTATTCTACAGTTGTATGACAACCAATCCCTTGTTTCGCATGTCTTCTTTACTTTCTTGTTGTTGATGTTGTGATGTTCAGGATAGTTCTGAAACTTCTTGCTGATAAACGTCTCCATAAAATAGACCTTCAGATTATTGTATTATCTGTCACCATAACCAACCGTATACAATGCAGTTTTAGCAACTATTAGTACGGTATTGGTATAGTCATTGGTGACAGACAACCGAAAGCAAACAAGCGAAAATGGAGAATTGAAGAACCCAGTACTACAGTGTGTGAAGAGGCTATACTGCCATACAGTTTATAAACGCGGTAAATACCGTCCCTCACCTCGGAACTACTCATACATGTATTGTCTGTGTCACCTCTTCGTAAGTAGTAATTGTTTCATTTCAAAAAGCAATATTAAAATACTCATGCAGCAGGTATGCCGTCATAAGCCAGAAGATGGTATATGCTAATTTCACATTTGTAGTCCTTCTCAAATTGTAACATCTTGAGTAAAAAGAATGCTTTTGGTTTGTACCCGGTTGAAAGAGACAACATTCTCTATCGAATTTATTAATTTTACCGGAGATGCCCATTCTACATATACACAAAAAGGCATTTATCACAAAATTGTTTGAAGTGCTGGTTTTGTTTTAATTATTAAGATAGTATGTACTACGCCATGTTGTTTATCGCACGTTTGGCATATATAATCTTTTGAATATGAGTTCTATATTAATTTTTGCAGTATGCTTAGAAATACAGTAAATGACCGATGAAAGGTAATTACAAACATTATGAATTCTGTGTGATTACATGTATGTCTGCTAGCGCCATTGACTTGGTTATACATTGAAATGTAGTATTTCCAAGGTTTCTAAGTAAGAATACAGCAAGTACGGGTTATTTACTGTTTTAGTTTATTTTTGTGAAAGTGAAATACTAGATATTGTAGAAGTAAAATATACTAAGTGACATATAAATCCGAACACCCAGTTTAAATGGTTTTATTTTAATAAAAGTTGGTGAATGTATTTATCTTACTGTAAATAACAATTGAAAAATTTTTCAGCCTCATCAGTTGGACATTCCGGTTTTTATACTGCTTTTTTTTAATTCACTAACGCTCTAAAAAAGAATATTTCAGCCGCAGTAAAGAATAAACGTTGGCGGATTTTGGTTCTTGACATCCTTTACGATCGGTTACGATGCCTAGAGTACGGAGACCTGTACGATTTCGTCAACTTAGTGAGTTTGATAGGGGCCGTATAGTGGGACTTCGGGAAGCTGGACTTTCTTTTCGGGCAATTGCAGTTAGAGTGCAAAGAAGTGTAGACACTGTGGTTAGGTGTTGTCAGGCATGGCTTCGAGAAGGCCGTACGCAAAGAGCAAGGGGCACTGGACGCCGCCGTAGGACAACAGACCGTGAAGATCGCCGCCTAAGATTATTGGCCTTAAGGGACCGTTTCTCCACTACCAGGTCCATTGCAAATGAATGGTTTGCAGAACACGGAAGACCTATTGGCATGCGAAGTGTTTACCGACGAATGAGAAGTTTTGGCTTGTTTTCATACCGGCCACACTGGGTCCTCCCTTTAACTCGAGAACACCGACGTAATCGCCTTGAGTGGTGCAGACAACGGTCACTCTGGGATCAGGAATGGAACAGTGTTGTCTTTAGTGACGAGTCTCGATTTTGTTTAGGCATGCACGATGGTCATGCCAGGGTTAGAAGGCGACGTGGTGAAAGCAGGAATCCACAGTTTTTTGTTGAAAAACATGTTCATCACACTGTTGGAGTTATGGTTTGGGGTGCTATAGCTTATGGTTCCAGGTCACCTTTAATCTTCATCAGAGGTAACATGAACGCGCAGAGTTATATCCACGAAGTTCTAGAACCCCATCTTTTACCCTATCTTGACACCCTGGCAGATCCAACTTTCCAACAAGATAATGTCCGACCACATGTTGCAAGAGTCACAATAGACTTCTTTCAACATAATGATGTCACATTGTTACCATGGCCACCAAGATCTCCCGACTTATCCCCAATTGAGCATGTGTGGGATATGATGGGTAGGAGATTTCTCAATTTGTAACGTCCTCCTCAGACTCTAGAAGCACTTCGAGAGGAGTTGGTGGTTGCCTGGAATGAGATACCACAGGAGGACATTGACCACCTGATCAGAAGCATGCCTAGGCACGTTGGAGAATGGGTAGCACATCAGGGTGCATCCACACATTATTAAAGGTCGAAGGACTTTAAAGCGGTGCAATCATTTTGAAATTTTTATCATTTACTTATCATGCTTCATTAAGTACTTATACAAAATTTTATTAAAATAAAACCATTTAAACTGGGTGTTCGGATTTATATGTCACTTAGTATAGTAGATCTTCGGTTTTTATCATGACTGTACTGTATTTTATCCTCGAAATATGATTCTTCCACGTGCCTTTCATATTAAAATGACGATATTCCATTTTCGCATTTCTTGCACTTACAGTGTTCTAGCTTCCGCCAGCAGAGTTGTAATCAATGAATTCAGGACTTGTTTGTCTCGTCATCCTCATAGTCAGCCATTTCTTTTTTCAGACCTGTCATGAAGTTCGTAGTTATAGTATTATTTTTTAAAAGTGTGTGTGTTTGCAGATTATTGGGGTGTTAGACGATTCCAAGACGTGCTACTTCTTACATAATTTGCGAAGATAAACACAAGTCTAATGAAGGCAGATGTTTTCACCGGTAACTACTATTATTATTATTATGTTGATACAACGCTGGCAGGCATTGGTAGACAAAAGTTTTCAATAAAGCTACGGCATTTTGAAGACTAACAATCAAATGTAAATATATAGGCTTGGCTCCTTTTAATTTATTGGACTACGTTT